TTTCAACCACACATTTCACATCATATCACTATTCAAAATTAATTATTCCCCCAAAAATCTCTTACAAACAAGCTCCAAATTCAAATCATCGTCTCCAATCTTTTTGATATCTTGTGATTTGGGGTCGCCCACATGGACGATCATGATTCATATTTTCTAATGATTTTCTTTTTGGGATATAGATTTTTCGTGAAGTCATTTTTTAGAGATCAATATTGACATTATTTCGACCGTTGCTTACTTCTCGATTACATACGTTCTTTCAATTTTTGAGAAGTTCGACTTGCAATACTCGAATGGACCATGTTAGTGGTACATCAAGGATTACATCGGGGTGTANCCACACATTTTCCATCATATCACTATTCAAAAATCAATTCTTCCCCCAAAAATCCCTACCAAACACACTCTAGATACGTTCTGTCAATTTTTGAGAAGTTCGACTTGCAATACTCGAATAAGTACGTGAATATACAACAAATAAATACCAAAAAGAGTAGCATGCCCAGGTGCCCAACTAGGAAATGATTGCGGGAGATTTTTGGCCTTTTATGGGTACGACTTTTGACTTTGAAAAACCATTAAATGATGGGTAGGGGGTTGGGGTTAGGTGGGGTGTGAGAGGTTACATAATAATAGCATGCAGATTGATAGGATGATTTGATGTAAAGCCTGCATCTCAAAATCCGAGCATGACGCGTCCAAATCTTAGAGCATCAATCAATCTTTCTCAACCGACCTCTTTTTGATGGTGATGGATGGATTGATGATATTATATAATAGTGGATGGGATTTGTGAAAGATACATACATGAGTATGAGTTTTCTATTGTTGAAAAATTAAGGGCATGTTTGCTTGAGGGGAATAGAATTTTTAATTAGAATTAACAAATGAGTTCGTTTGTAACAATTTTTTTTTTTTTTTTGGTGCGTCAGTAAAAAATGTTTTTGGGGGAGATACATTTTCATCGCCCTGAGTCACATATATCCAACATACACATACTTTTTAACAAAGTGGTGATAAAATGTACAACTTGTACAAATCTTTCCATTTTTCAAATCGATACGATTCGTTCGTTCGTAGAACTATTTACTCGATTGCAGACATTTCTAGAACACCTCTAATAGATGAACATATCCGTTTCAGAAGAGAAGAACTTGCATTAGTATCTCAATTTATATGAGTTATTGGAAATCGAAAAAAAACACACCCATTAGAGTAGGTTCGTGTTCAAATTGGAGTGAGACGTGTAATCATGTGATGATCAGTAGAACGACTTGATGAGTAAAAAATATATGTCTATTAGTATAGTCCTACATATGCATATATTGAGCAATCAAGCCCACCAAGCCTAGCCCACGGCATGGTCGATTCGAGCTCTAGAGCTTGGCGTTGCATTCGATCCATGAAGGCCCAACTTGACATTTGAATATGAGCATTGCGATTATAAAAATATATAAGTTAATTATTAGCTCGAGTACCTCAAATCTCGAATATGTTCATGAGACACGAGAGGGGTCTTGTACGAACGCAAGAAATGGTCGATTTAGACCATGGAGGGATGGAAAATGGGAAGAAGACTGTGAGAACATTTGAGAATGACACCTTACGACTTTTGCCGTCCGCCCATACATTTTCCATACGTATAAAAGTTAAAAATTCCAACTTTTCCCGTAAATCTCAATAAATTCTCGTGTGCCTTTGGTTAAGATATCAAAAAACCAACTTTTAACAACTGACACCTCAGCTTTTCCGCTACTTCCATCAAACTATTTTGTGTAAACTCCGGATTTTTCACACTGCCACTGCGTTGCAGTTAGGTCATAGATTTGCTCAGTGTATACAGTATTAATGCAACTGATAGTGTATTTTATGGTGTATGCTGCTGTAGCTTAAAAGCATTGTATGGGTTGAGTCACTGATTGTCCCTCCCAACTTTATGCTTGACGTTATCATGATCATTTAATTTGATTTTATTTTATCGTGGGCATTTTATTTCACCATTGTCATTCAATTTCATATAACGTTTTTACTATGATCACCCTTAAAAAACAAAATAAAATAAAAACTTATTTAAAAAGAACGTTACTTTAAAAAAAAAAAGATAAAATAAAAACTTATTTTAAAAAAAGTTACATAGAAAAATAAAATAAAAATTATTTAAAAATAGTTTTTAAAATAAAATAAAAACTTAATTTTTAAAAAAAAATGTTTGCCCCTGTTTGAGTCACATTAAAATTTTTATTATCATTTTTCTACTCATTTTCAATTACACAATTTTCAATAAAATAATATTTTCCATCACATCAATAACTTTTCATTCTTTTTCAACCACACATTCTACATCAATCTATTATTTCAAAATACATTTTTCCAAAATAATATGGCTCAAACACACCAAGACAATTAAATATATATTCACATATAAAAAAAGTAAGGAAAATTTCATCATTCCACCAAGCTCACCCATCTCAACCCTCAATGCTTCCAAATTTCACGGAAAATACAACAATCTCAAATAATTTTCATTTTCTTCCAAATCTCATTTCTCTGACTTCCCAATTTCGAAAGTGGAAATTACACATTTCCCTACTTTTGGAGATCCAAATTCTAAAATCAGAATTCTTTTTCTCATTTTCAATCACACATTTTTCAATAAAATAATATTTTTCATCACATCAATGATTTTTCTTTCTTTTTCAACCATACATTCTCCATCAATCTACTATTTCAAAATACACTCTTCCAAAATAATATGGTTCAGACACACCCTTACTTAGAATCTTTTTTAAAATAAAAGGTTATTTCAAAAAAATATTCCTTAGAAAAATAAAATAAAACTTATTTTATATAATAAAAGTTACCGTTTTACCCTTTTTAAAATTAGTGAAAATGGTGAAAAGAAAATGGTGATTATGATGAACTATTATATGAAATTCGATGGTCATGATGAAATATTATATAAAATTTGGTAGTCATGATGAAATAAATTCAAATTGAGTGGCTATGATGACACTAAATCAAATAAGGTAGCCATGGCGACACTAAATATAAAGTTTGGTGATCACTAGTGAATTTAACGCACTTTTTATTTATTTTATACTGTCGATAAGAAATAAAATCAGCCTCCTTAGTTGAAAATACACAAAAGGGAAAGCTTTTGTTTGTCGTACCTATGCAAGTTGTATTATTATTGTAAACATAAAAAAATAAACAAATAATAATAGTAATAATAAATAAATAAATGGAAGAAATAATTAGCTCAATTAAATTAAAGTCTACTAAAGTACATAAAATTCAAAGACCCGCCCAACCATTTTTCCAAAACAGGAAAAATTATAATAATAAATAAACAAATAAATGAAAGAAATCATAATTGCTCAATTATTCCTTTTAATTAAAGATAATTGAGTGGTTACCAAAATTGGTCTCGAAATTCCCCTATAAATAGGACCATAGGTCCATTACAAAAGGGAAGCAAAAAGTGAAGAAGAAAATTACGAAGTGTTGAAGAAATCCCAGAGTCGAGGGAAGAGAAAAAATCATCTCAACCCCAAGTCCGGAGAATACGAAAAAGATCAAAATCTTCTTCGAATTAAATCAAGATCAAGCCCAAGTTTCGGAGTGCAAATCCAAGCACCGAAATTCAAGTGTCAAGAAGTCAAGTTTTCGACAAATCAAATTCTCAACAAATCTCGAAACTTAGGATTCAAGCCACGTGGCTCCTCGTCTTCAAACATTCAGATCATTAATCAGAGGGTTTTGCAATTTTGCAATCACTTGAAAATTCATATTTATATTTCTTAAAATATAATTTGTAACGACTTCTATATTTTAATACGCGAAATCCGTCTTACAATTATTACCCTTCATCTTTGAATCGAGACCTGACCAGATCGTATCGTTCCAACAATTGACATCGTAAAATAGTAAGAATGAGCAATAATTTTTCTAGTGAAATCACCCAAATTCTATCATGCAAGGAGAAATATCCTAATCATCTCAAGTTCATACGAAAATAATATTAGAATACGAACTTGGGAGGGGACATTTTATCTTACCTCCGAGTTAATGAAATATAGAGTTCATTTGGTAAAGATTAAAATCTAATTAAAATTAAAAATATAATCGGTGTTGGGTCCTACTCGTTTAATAAAAGTCAAAAATAACAATTAATTTTTTAATTTTTGATTTTAATCTCTATCGAACACGTCCATAATCCTCCAGGAAAATTACAAGAAGACTCGAAGCTAAGGAGTTAATTGATATCAAATTACTTGTAAATATCAAGAAATTGAATTTTTAAAAATATTTATAGGATGTATGGCATGTGATGACAAGTGATGGGAGAAAAACAAAGACAAGCTAGGATTTACCTTGTCTCTGTCCACACGATTATTATTTTAATCTTGTACTGTTCTTCTGATCTGCTCACCTATGAGATATGTATCAGCTTTATCGATCCATTCCAATGGAGAAAAAAATCAAAATCTCTCTCTTTCCCTTTCTCTCTCTCTACAACTCCTTTTCTCCCTGATTTTTAAACTCCTTCTGTTCCTCTCCTCTCATTTTCCCTTCACTGACATGTATAGGAATACCTGCACACTTCCTTACGCACGCACGCATACCCCTCTTTAATCATCTCACCAGATGCATACATACACATAGATACAATCTTCATTTCTCTCTCTAGACTCTATGCTTCTCTCTATATCTCTCTAGCCATATGATAAGGGCAGCAGTAGAGTGATCAGAAGAGGACAGCCCAGACATGAAGATTTTCCAGCCATATCATACCTTGTTATTTGCCTTTTCTTGATTCATTCATCAAATCCTCATGAACACTACTCCCTTATAACGCTCAACCTCTCCCGTTACCCAATTACAAGACCTTACCCAAATTCCAACCCTTTTGTAAATCATAAAGCTTCAGAATCAGATTCTCTAGGCTTGAGCAAGACTGGGATTAGTTGTTTTGAGCAAGATTCAAGATCAAGATCATGGAGAACTTTCACTGTTTTGATAGCAATGATTCACATTTGCCTCCAGGTTTTAGATTCCACCCAACTGATGAAGAACTGATCACTTACTATCTACTAAAGAAGGTTCTCGACTGTAATTTCACTAGCAGAGCCATTGCTGAAGTTGATCTTAACAAGTGCGAGCCCTGGCAACTTCCTGGTAAGTTTTTCTTCAAACCATAAACTGGGTTAAGGACTATCTACGTGTTTGCTTTCTTGTTCAATAATAGTTCAATATTTTTGTGAAGGGAAAGCAAAGATGGGAGAAAAAGAATGGTACTTTTTCAGCCTCCGGGATCGGAAATACCCAACTGGGTTAAGGACTAATCGCGCAACAGAAGCTGGATACTGGAAGGCTACCGGAAAAGACAGGGAAATTTACAGCTCAAAGACTTGTTCACTGGTGGGTATGAAGAAAACCCTAGTTTTCTATCGTGGAAGGGCTCCAAAGGGTGAAAAGAGCAACTGGGTTATGCATGAGTACCGTCTTGAAGGCAAATTAGCATATCACTACTTGTCTAGAAATTCCAAGGTGCAAAAATTGAAAATTAGTCTGTTTTTAGACAAGTTTTAGTAAGAATTAATGTTGAATGTGCTGATATTGCTTTCTGGGTTCTGATCATAATTCATATACGGAACTTAATTATGTTCACCATCCCAACACTGTCCTTTATCAAATCTTTGAGAAAAGAAGTTTTCCAATGAATTTCCCTTTCAGAATCTCGAAACAGACGAAGGAAATTTTTTAAACATGATTTCGTACGTAATAAATCTATAATTATACTGATACATGCAGTGAATTTAAAGCGGAAAGGTCTGATGTAATATCCTTGTCTGCACAGTATTAAATTGCATGGTACCTTGATATCTTCATCATCATCGTGAAGAATCAAGATAAATTTTCACCCATTTTTTCAAGTTCAATTTGTAATTAAAACCCTAATTTTTCCATCAAATCGTAGAAGGTAATGTTGAAATTAAATTTATCACTGTTTTGTCTTCCAGGATGAGTGGGTGATTTCTCGAGTGTTTCAGAAGAGTGGCCAAGGAAGCGCAACCGCCTCCGGAAGTAGCAAGAAGCGGCTGACAACCTGCTTCAACCCTTTTTCTGAAGTTAGCTCTCCCTCTTCAGTTTCTCTGCCGCCGCTCCTCGAGTCCCCAGCCGCCATCACTGACCATGATAGCTGTTCATACGACGGCAACCCCACTAATACCAAGGAGCACGTGCCCTGTTTCTCCACCGCTGCACCACCCAGTTTCAACCATAACTCTTTCTTTGAGCTCCCGCCGACCACCAGTCAGAATATCTTCGCCGCCGATCACTCATCTTCTTCATCCAGTTTTACTAGAAACAACATTGGTGGAATCTCCTCTTTTCCCAGTTTGCGGTCTCTCCAAGAAAATCTTCAGCTGCCTTTCTTTTTCTCTGCTGTGGCTCATCCACCAATGCACAGCGGCGTTACTGATCAGATGACTGGTTACGGCCCTGTTAGCCACTGGCCACCGCTGGAGAATCAGAAAATGGGTCCCACTTCTACTGAGCTCGACTGCATGTGGAGTTGCTAATCGAAAAATCTTGTTCGTCAGTGTTTGTGTTTGAAATCTTGTTCTGATGAATTCTCAATTATGATTAGGGTTTTAATTATCTGTAGGATCTTTTTATTGCATGGAAGTCGTTAGGGTTTACTAGGCATGTTCTATTCCGAACAGCCTTTACTATTGTCTTGTTATTGTCGCTGAACTTTTTGCATTATGTTGTGTGTAGTATTTTGCCCTACCTTAAATTTTGTGAACTAATCGAGATCGAAGTTGAAATGTAGGGATGCGAACCAAGAATGAAAGAACATGTAACCATCGTATTTCAATAGAGAGAATTAGGGACAATGAAGTAGGTAGATTGATTGAATTTTTCGAGCAGAGCTGGATGTGATTCCGAGAGTCGAGCTAGAGTGATTTATCACACACAAGCGTCGATCGAGCTACTAGAGTCAACGGTTCTTGCTCCAATTTGACCTAGTAGGCCTTCGATCCCGGTTTCTTCTGCCTATCGCATTTGATATTTCAAGATAACTTCGACGCTCAGATTCAAATCCTTGTGAAAAAGGAATCGACTATAAAAATGATTCGCCGCTTCTATTGAAACCTTTTGTCAAATTAATGTTCGGTGGTTAATTCCATTGAGCACAATCTTATATACTCTAGTACACCTTCTCAAGGTCCAAATCTTGATTATACTCGATTATACCTAATTAAATATATTTCTCTTCTTAACTAAGAAGATCTTGACACTTGACAATTTTTCTATGAGAAAGCAACATGGTAATAAATGAACATTTTTGTGGTCCACCCACATAGGATGTCCAAATAGGGAGGTTGAAAGTAACAAGTTGTCCAAATTTACATCCTCTTCGAGTGGTCCAAATTCGCCATGTCTATGGACCCTTTTGCGCTTGTCAACAAAAAGTTTATGTTGGCTTACCTCTCGAAATAATGAAGTAACAAGAAAGTAGTTACACGCGCAAATACATTGATATTTGTCTCAGTTCACTCTTAAAATTTGTCACCAAATCGAAATTTTCCAAACCACAAAAGACAGTTCCCTAGTGTAGGGAAATAATACTCAATACACTCATAACAACCATTTTGGTTATACAACTATATCGTTACATTTCACTACTAAGACCGACATTCACGACGACCCCTTTTTTCAACTGCACTTGTCCTAGTTTTCAATTGTAAGTTACCTCTCGAGGTTTCCCCGTCTGCATTGACGGTCTTTCAAGATGGGGTGCCTACTCTGATGCTTTTAAGGGGTTGTGTTACTCCTATTAACAAAGTTGACTTTTTACATGAAGTACCAAATCTTAATATGGTACCAAAATCTAATAAATTCAAGCGACCAGTTCTCGATATACCAATTGTAACAAGCACTTGAGCGTAAAAATCACCCCTAAGACTGATTTAAGACATCCACGAGGCAGACTTTTTCACGAGTAACGTGAATGACTAGTAAGATGAGCGTACACATTTAGATCGTTACAATACTTTCAGACGAGAAGCTTCAAAAATTCATGATAATTGATGATGACAAGTGTTGTTATATTGTTTAAAATGGAGAGTGTGACGAGTTTATATTTCAACATTGCAATCAGTGGCCTCCACTTTGGGTGTATGGACTGTTTGCAAATGTCAAATTTCACGGATTATAGCATTGCACGCCGATGTGCCAAATAAGTGCAAATCCTTTGGATTTCATTATGATGAAAAGAGAGGGCTTGTTTGCAGATTGGCAAAAATACATAAAACCCCTTTTACTTACTAGATTAATCTATGTGTACATAGGTGCATACATAGAGGTTGACATAATGTGTGTGGAGTAGGGCTCACGATACTGTAACGTGGGCCCCACAACACTCACATTATGTCATCCCCTATGTGTATACTTATGTACACATTGCACTTCACTTACTTATTTGTATACTTGTGTTGTACCAAACTGTTATCAATGCAAAAGTGGAAAGGGATGGGTGGTGGGGGAGGTGTAGAGTTTAGAAACCTTAATTCTATACTAGTGAGAGTGATAAAATCGTAGAAAGAAATTAGACATACAAGAACACGCAAAAATTATAGAGGTCCGTCTTAGTATGAGACTATATTTTAAATCATCACCTTAATAATTTACTATGATGAAAAGAAGTTTATAATGGAAAAATTTCAGACCCGATTTTCTATGACCTCTATCTCTTCCATGATGATGATATATTTAAAATTCTAATGATAGGTTCTTGTCCACCTTCCAATTTCACGACAACCTTATCATAAAGATCAATTAGTCGACAGACTCCACAAAACGACAGTAAGCCCCTGTTTGAGTTTTATTTTTTCCCAAAATTATTTTCAACAATACATTTTTTCAATAAAATAATTTTGCATGCGGATTCATAACTTTTTTTTTTCAAATTACATTCTCAAAAAAAAATTCATTTTTCACATAATCTATTTTAGAAAAATCTCTGTAGGGGTGGAGGTAGGGTGATACCCGTGTAAATTGTAACGTGTGAAATGCAATGTGGTCTGCAATTTCTCTTACTCTTGAGTTGTACTGTGTTTTATTTTCTGGTTTCGTTGAATTATACATCAGTCGAGACTAGGGATTGGACTTGTCATGAGGAAGGTAAACGCTTGACAGACGAGGCTAGGAGTATCCATGGGGCCCACTTTATCTAATTTCTAATGACACGTTTGGTACGTTAAATTCAGCATGAATTAGACAAAAAAAAAAAAATGATAAATAGCAATGAGTCGGCTACCCGTTTCTTTTATCTCGATAGCTTTTCATTGCTAAAAAAACTAGAAAAATAATTTCTAGACAAACTTGACACTGGAGTTTCTTTTATCTTCTTAAATATAAGGATATGATTGTCATTTATGATTACAATTAATGAATGTCATTTAATTAGGTTGAACCCCAACCTTGAGGGCCCCCCACCGACCCTGCCCTGGGACATTGTGGAGGAGGTAAATCGCAGGATGTGCCTCCCAAGAGCCAGGGTGGAGAGCTTATGGATAGGCCT